ATCAACACCTGCCTGTATTTGGAATAGCATGCAATGTACTTGCTATTTCTGTGGTATATGTATATATAGTATGTAAACCGTGCATAGTGAGAAAATTTGATTTTCTTCTATTTTTCTATGTTTTTCTGTGTGATTTTACTATGTTTGCCAGATTTCTATATCCAGCCTGAGGAGTATGACCCATGTGAATCAGAAATGGACTTAAAAATGACAATTAACGTGAAAATGCTGAGTTTTTAAATATATTTTCAGCATCATTTAACAATTGTGTGCGGGACATCCTTAGTATCTCAGCCAAGGTCTGAAATGAATACTCTCTAGCGCCAAATGTGAGTAAGAATTGCGTTGACAGATATATGAAACCGTGGTAACTACAAGTTGGTGTGATTTACCAAATCGCAAAGGCTGCAATTTAATTGTATAATATAGTCTGATGGTCTGTGTTTTTCAGTGTGAAGTGTGGCACTGTGTACTTTTTTCACGCAAGCAGTTCATGATCTAGTGTCTTCGGTGTTTCTGAGTGGCTCGGTCCCAGTAAATGCTGCTGTTGCTTATAACGGGCATTTAAAAACGCAACATGAGCCAACCATCTTTTCAAATTTGTATTGAGACTCGTTCATAAATCTGTTGTTAACATAAGAGAACCTTTAATGTCCCCCTGCGGTTTTCTACTAAAATAAAGCTATATGGTTTATAGTTTGAAAGCAAAGAAATTATGACAGTCATAAATACTACTAGTGTTGTAATTTTACTGTTGTTCTGTAAAATAAATTATTATTGTTGTTGCTGCTGTTATTAAATACTCTATTTTACAGTATGGGTGGTTCAGGTTTGCATTTTGTTGAGCATACTATTTAAAAAAAAAAGCATAATATAATGTAAATACCGCACAGTATTTAGTAGCATGTTAGTATTCCATTCCAAACAAAGCTGATTTGAAAACTAAAGTTTTTTGGGGGGTTTTGCCTCTAGAACGCCATAAAAATAATGGTTTGTTTTTAAAGAGGGCATCTCTCTCTCTGTGTGTGTGTGTGTGTGTGTGTGTGAGTGATAAGTGTGTGGGATACATGACCACAAATCCACCACATGGTGTTATTTTCAACATTTGTTGTTTGTGGGAAGTGCAAAATTAGCACCTTACTCTCACCTTCTCACCTCATAACGATTAGTGATCTACATAGTGCTTCAAAATACCTCAGTATGCATGTATGATAAAGATATAATTAGGCCCTCATTCTACATGAGATAAGTCAATACCATCAATCAATGCAACCAGATTATTTAATTTTTAATGCAACAAATACACGACTAAGCGACCATGTGCTAAAAAATAATTATAGTAAATATGGAGGGTAAAAAAACATGCAGTTCGTCAAGTGTGAATTGTGGAGAAAGTAATGGCACAAAACAAGACTGTACTGTAAGTGTTTGATGGTGTTAGAAGATCTCACCTTATTTAAGGCAGTGATGAAATTGAACTACAGTTCTTATCTCTCTTTGTATTCAGTGTGTGAAAGATTTCACTCAGTGTTGTCAAGACTCTCTGGTTTTTATGCTTTTCTATTGTTAACTTTCATAGCACTTGAATATCTGAACCTTTCATTCTAAGATCTGACGTTCCTTCGGCACAAAAGCATCTTCCAAACTCGCAAAGTGTTTTGTTACCTTGACAAGATTTTTTTGGCAGTAGATGTCCTTCAGTGCTTTGTTTGCTTTCTTTAATGTATTGCATTTGCATGAAATCTGTTTTCTGGAATTTTATTTTAGGCAGCGCAGAGATCCTGGCAAAAGTAAAAGGGCAAAAGGGGAAAAACGCAAACCCGCATTCAGAACAAACACTGCACCTGATCTGAGCGAACCCCCCCTGCTGTGCCGCAGACGACATAAAAGCTTGATGACTGCATATGTAGTGTGTTCATCTCCTTTTCTTGACGAGTCATGGGTTAAAGAGGGCGGTGACTAGCACGTAATTCACACTTGATGAAAAAGCGTCAAAGCAGGAGTTTATTTTCTTACACTTGGCAGCGGTTTCATTTCCTCCGGTTGCCATGCGAAGTCGGGGGAACGAATGTGGAGCTCCCAGCCAGTCGGTTACACCGTACTCATTACCACTGGAGCATAACTGTCAATGTTTATAAGGCTGCTGAAGGAACGGAGAGAGGGAGAGACAGGTGAGGGAGCTGTAGAGTTTTTGAGACGGGACAGAGGCAGACCGCCTCTCCAGAGTCTTGCGGCACGGCTGATCTCTCCTCAGTATGTTTGCTCTTATTCACTGCGACAGCTGTGGGCAGCACATTGGCTCTGCTCACCTGCGCTTCTCGCCAAGCCCACCAGACTGGGACATTCATCAAACCAAACAGCCTGCGTTTAATTGGTCCACATCCCCACCTGCTGTCACTCACCTTCGCGGCACACTGGCGAGGGATACAGACATGACGCCGCGAACACAAACCCTCTGCGCCCACAAACCAGGCAGCGGCAGGGTCATCTGAATTGCAGATGGGAAGCTGAAGCTCTCCTTTTCTCATGCTTTGGTTCGGTTTCCACAGGGATGTGTGTGGGGATGGTAATGATGTGCCCTTTCAGTTTACCTGCAGTCACCCTCGGCATCCCGGTATGCCCTGGGGCTGAAGGCATGAGAGCGCGCTGAGCCTCCTTCGTCTCCGGCTAGCGAGACTTCTTTAGTATTCGACTCTTCTGCTACTTAAAATAAGTTTTATGGAACCAGAATAACACTGCTGACTGAGTCCCTCGCATAATTCCCTCTGTCTTATTTGAACGGTGCATGGCACTTCAGCTATGAACTGCATTTGCCCCATAAGAGCGGAATGGCACCAAGAAGCACTTAATGAGCCTTTTACATTTTACTGTTAAACCTTCCATTAAACATCCGGTGTGTAGATGGCTTCAAGGAAATTACATGGTTTTAACTTTTTGGCTCAATAGACATGAAGCAAGAACGCCATTTATTCAGGCTGATTTTAAATAAATAAATGCTCAAGCTCTTTTGGTCAAGTGTAGATGAGGCCTCAACTTTAACTTTGGTGGTCTGATGAGTTGGTTTAAGTGCGGCACATTTACATTTTTTCTCTTTGTTCATCTGCTTTGTCTGAGTCTCTCTGTCAAACTATGCAAATATGGCTGTCCGTATGCATTACTGTTTGGTGTGATGGAGACCAGCATACTTTATTCTAAAATGAGTGAGGAGACAGACACTGGCCAGTGACTTTGAATTACATTACCTACTTTTATGGCCTCAGATGTAATTATCCTCATGAGATGAGCAGTTCTTTGGGAAAACTGTTTTAAAGGAGCTATAAAACCAACGGTAGGCTGAACTTAAATGGGAAAAGTGAATACAGAGGTTTTCAGCTTTAAAATCTTTTTGTGTGTTGACCTGGGAAGAAATATCTGCAGTCCAATCCAGGAATCATACAGCAATTTGTATGCCTAACCAACTACAATCTGTGTCTGTATCTGCAGATCTGTTAAAACAACTGAGCCTCATAGGTGGATGGAGAGAAACTTGTAGAGCTTAAAAATAAGAATACCCAAACTGTCATTGTTTTCATAATTTAATACTTGTGATGATGTTTTTGTTATATGATGTTTAATAGTTTTGTTTAGTAATGGTTATGTTCAGATGAAAAGCAGTTCATGAAGTTATGTTGTTATCTTGTTCTTATCTTTAACTCCTGATGTTGTTATATGATGACTGTTAGACAGTCTATGTTGAATCTCCAACTAGCACATGCTGTTTGGTAATAAAGTCTATGATTGATTTATTGATTGATTGATTTGAAAAACAACAATAATAATAATAATAAGTAAAAAATAATAATAGTAAAAAAAAGCAAATGTTTGTCAATAAAATAGACTTATTATGGAATACTTATCTATTAATAATATTAAAATAATAATAATAATATTAATACAGTTTTAAATGCTGACAGACAAAAACTATGTGTCTAAAATAATAAATAATAATAATTATTATTATTATTTCAATTAATACTGCTGTTGTAATTTATTCTTAAAATATTTCCTTCTTTTTTTTTACAGAAGAAAGAAAGTCATAAATGTTTGGAACAAAATGAGGGTTGGTAAATGGTGACTTTCATTTTGGATGAACTATGTCACTTTATGTAAAAAATGATTAGATGAATGCTATTAGGGCAGGGTATCGTTCAGAAAATGTCGATATCGATATCTATACTGATACCGATACCTTGACCGATACCTTGACTTAGATACCGGTTCCTGAACGATACTTTTTTCCAATACCAATTTTATGAAATCCATTTTAAGAAGATTACATTACCTTAAAAAATAAATAAAACCATATATATATTTTTTTTTTTTCAGTTTGTTGAGGTTTTTACAGACTCAAAGACTCATATCCTGTGCCACTGCACAAAGGAACAAAATGAAACCAACACAATAAATCAGTGCAAATAGTTTTAATAAAGTTCAAATAGTTTTCAGTGCAAAATGAACCGTTTTAAGTCAGTATGTGAGGATCAGTGCTGCATGCTTAAGATCTTTAAATCACTCAGCAGTTTTTGTTTTATGAATGGATGAATTACATGATTGGATGAACGCTATTAGGGCTGGGTATCGTTCAAAAAAATGTCGATATCGATATTTATACCGATACCGATACCTTTATCTTCAATACCGGTTCCTGAACGATACTTTTTTCGATACCAATTTTATGAAATCCATTTTAAGAAGATTACATTACTCATATATATGAGAAGTATTTGTTTTTGTTTTAAAATGTTTAAAATGTTTTAAAATGTTGTTTTAAAATGCATAACTTAGACGGAATCATCATTTCTATTCACTTTCCAGTTTCCACTGATTTACGTGATCTAATGAGCATTGGCTGTTTCTGGTGCTGTCTGCCTGTGTTTTCTCTTCCGCGATTGCTGTTCTGATTCAGAGGAAGATCATTCGCTGCTCATATATCAATCATATTACGTGTTCCTAACCCACCCTGTCTCTGGTGATGAATGTGCATTACACTTCCTGAAAAACATTTACAGGTATGAAACATGAAGCTTAGAAACACGCGATTAACGACAGTATATGATTTGTATGTGATTTTCATGAGATTCTGCCTATTTTTATAAAAATACAGTGTGTTTAACATTACATGAGAAATGCTAAGCAGGTGTAGCGATTAGCTTGATTATAAAAGGATACAAATAACATATTTTTGCAACATGATATGACCAAAACCCTCATTAGATCGCAATCGGAGGTTATTACAAACTCTCAATGGTGGTTTAAAGTGTGTTTTGAGTAAAAGCATAGTATAAATTGTGTAAATTGTCTTATGTAGCATGATGCTACAGTGTGAATGGCCACGTAACATGTGTTTTCCTTGACGCCTCACCAGAGCCAATCACCAGTACATGAATCAAGCATGCTGGATGCTTACTGGCTCACTGACGTTGATGATATTAACCCCTTAGGTATCAAAATTTGGCACCAATCGACAAGACATTTTTCGATACTCGATATTAAAAAGTATCGAACATGATACCCAGTCCTAAATGCTATACATAGAAGACAGTGAGAATTGTCTTCTTTACACTATTGAAGACATACACAGAAATCATTAAGAGATGCATTTTCTTCAGTTTAACATTAGTGAGTGATCAAAGCATCAGTAGCAGAAGAAGGGTTACCATCCTGACACGACAACTGAGGAAGGACTTTGAAAGACATCTTGAGTTCAATTCTTGAACTTAGCAAAGTTCAGAGCAGCAATAAATGTAAAAATTATGGCCTACTGGATTTTTCCCATAGTCTCCTTCATTTGCCATAAACGTACTGAAGCAATTTAAGATCCCTAAGGGGATGAGAATATAGCTTAACAGAGGATGCATCCATAAGGACAACGGCTCCTTTAAGCTCCACTGTGTCTTTTTGCATAATGGTTGTTCTTTAAGTCCAGTAAGTCGCCACAGCTTTGATGGGGGCCACCCTTATGTGAGACCCCCGTTGACAGAGGTGTAGCTTCCTGCATTCGGCAGCCTCATTAAAAGGCCGTCCAATTAAAAAGCTGTAATTGATTTCATGTTTGCCAAATGCCGACTCTGCTCTCGCAGAGTAATGCTGGAGGTCAATTTCAAATGCTCCGATGCCGAAAGATGGTTTGTGTCCCCACGGCCAAGAACTGGCCTTCCTCCACCTCCTTAAAAAGACCCTTAACATCTCCTTTATAAAGAGATGAGTCAGTCCACTTAACAACTCCTGCCTCCCTCCTTCACATGATATCACAGACTGATTCAGTGAAGGACCTAATGCACGAGCTATGCTGAGGGAGCTTTAGTTGAAAGGAAATACACCTTTCATAGAACCTCTTGTGCATTTTGATTAATAGCAGAGATACAGCAGATATTTGGGGCCTAGTGTTTGTCAAGTATAATGCAGATCTGGGCCTCTAGATGACAGGAAATGTATTCAGTGATTTAACTCAGTCAGTAGTTGGGATGCGCATTGGATCGGGTATCGGTCAGAGAGAGCCGATCCAAATCCGAGATTGTGCGTATTGTGTTACCTCTGCTCTGAAGCCATAGCATAGCTTAAAGGGTTACTCCACCTCAAAATGCAAAATTTTGTCATTAATCTCTTACCCCTGTAGCGAATTAGCTCACAACAGGAAATATGAATAATTAACCATAACTAGTTATAATTAACTATTCATATTTTAGATCCGCTGTAGATATTTAGCTGACCACTCAGGGTCAACTGTCTTGTCAATTCTAAGAACGTTAATTTCCTGGTTAAGGGAAATAACTTTCTTACTGTAAAATTCTTCAAAAGCTTGTAACGTAAATTCATATTTCCTGTCGTTGAGCTAAATTCGCTACAGCACTCTCAGTTAGATCATCCGAAGATGAATTCATAGAGACCACACATGATATAGGTGAGGTTATATTAACTAGTGGTCTATCATAACATGCATAAAACACCATACATTACAACAGACAATATACAAGAACAGTAATGGTATACACAATGACCTGAAGGATATGTGTATTCAATCAAAGAAAGGTTTTCCTATGAATTAATTAGAGAACAGTCCATTTCTCTGGGCATTATGTGTCTTTCTTATGAGGAAAATGAGGGAGTTTATCTGCCCGCATTCCTTTAGGCAATAAAACCAGTGATATCAGCATTGGTTACCATGGAACCAGTGGCCTGTTCTGCCTTTCTGAGGTGTTAGGTGCATTTCGGGAGAAGGGTCCATAGACCCTCGTAATTGGCCCTTTGGTTAGGTGAGGGGGCGTTAGATATTATTTGTTAAATATAACAAAAAGTTGTGTGTCTGATTGGTCCAAATGCTACACTCCCATGTTGTTTCAAACCCGTAAAAGCTTCGTTCGTCTTCGGAACACAATTTAAGGTATTTTGGATGAAAACCGGGAGGCTTGTGACTGTCCCATTGACTTGCACTGTCAAGGTCCAGAAAAGTATGAAAGACATCGTCAGAATAGTCCATCTGCCATCAGTGGTTCAACCGTAACGTTATGAAGCGACGAGAATGCTTTTTGTACGCGAAGAAAACAAAAATAACGACTTTATTCAACAATTCGTCGTGTCTTTCCGCATCACCGTAGCACCATTTTGGAGAATATCCGCTCTGAACGCAAGCAGCGTAGGCTCTTCTGTGTCAGCCGCGCTGCACGGATGCGCCGTTTTCCTTCAAATTTAAAGTGTAAATACCTTATACAGTCTATGGTAAATATACATAGAAAACGTAGGCCTATCCCTTTAATGTGAGCTGCATATGAATATTTAAGTCCTTCCATTAAAGTTCACACAAACTCTTTTCTCCGCTGTGGCTGTCAGTCATTCGTTCAGCCTTTAAACCCTGGTCGCGTTCGGTTACAGCAGTCAGCTCGGTAAAGCTCTCTCCAAGACCATTCTGTGTTCCCATTATTATACTTGATTTGTAAATAAATGTCTATGATTTTGCAAAAAGGACTTTATCTTCTTGCCGGAGTTTAATGTTGTTTTGTTACTTGCTACCGGGTGTCTGTGAGAACAAAACACGGGCGTAGAAAATACTTTAAATAGTTTTTAACGCGCACAGTAACTGAAATGTAAAACTGTTAAAAGAAAGGCGCAATAACTGTTGCACAGATATAATACACTACGCATCAATTTCTCTTCCCTTTGTGCTTTGCAGTTTTTAATGCAAGCGCATCATTCTGCACACCGGATGCGCATATTGTAAGCGCTTCGTGCCGCACTGTATTTATTATTGAATCTATCATTTGTTGTTGCCTTATTAAAAAAAATATGCTATACATTTAAAAGAAATGTATTTTAATTTTATACTTGTATATAAATACATTCATGAATGTTTTCAAATGGGTTTTATAATACAAATAGCAATGTGTAACATTTTACCATATTTAGTGCAACAATGTTGTTTTTTCACTAAATGTTTGGATTTGCACTGATTTTTCTAGAATAACTTTTGCAGCTGAATTATCCACTAATCTAGTTTATGATATATGTTTGTCATAGATTATGAATATACATATATTTTTTCATATTTATTTTTCTTTATAATGAAGTAGTCTGTATTTAGTAGATTGTGAAAGAATGATTATCAGTTCCACACACAGAGATATATAAATTCTACATTTATTTAAATGGGGGGAAAAAAACTTCACTGGTATTGGTATCGGCCAATACTGAACCCTAGGTATCGGAATCAGTATCGGAGGTGAAAAAGGTGGATCGGAGCATCCCTAGTCAGTAGAGCTTAAATGGTAGATCAGAGTCTGAATGTGTTTTTTTGCTGTTGGTGTTTTTGGGTTAGTGACTTGACACTCAATTTTGTCTTAATTTATTCAAAAATACATTTAAAACGCAGTTCATACATACAGCTACTTGAAAACCTCTCTTTTATGATGCATGTATTAAGCATAAGGTCAAAAATATCAGGAGGATAAACTGTCCTAAATCATGATTAAGAAAAAAATCCTTATTGAAATAATGATATATTGAAATAAAAACCATATAAAGTAGTTTGACATAATCTTTATTATTATTATTGTTGTTGTTATGTAGTGTGACCAACAGAAAATGTTATAAATTATTAGTTTGATTAAAAATATATATATGTACAGTATATATGATTAAAGAGATATTCCACACAAAAATTTAAATTCTGTCATAATTTATTCACCCTCCTGCAATTTATTCACAAACCTGTATGCATTTCTTTTTTCTGCTGAACACAAAATATATTATGAAGAATGTTCATAACCAAACATTTTAGATTCCCATTGTCTTCTGGACAGAAAATACAATGGAAATCAATGGGATCCAAAACTCTTTAATTACCCACTGTAACAACGTTCGTAGATCGGGAAGAAGGAGGCGGGAGCCGGCGAATGCTCAAAGAAAACTAAACAAACAAAAAATGAAAGTAAAGCGGCAGCCCCTCGCAGACGACTGCCACACACAAAACAATAAATAAAGTCCAGGTCTGGTCCTCTCTCGTCTTTCACTGTCGTAGCTCTTCTTTTTATCCTTCCGGAGCTCCTCCGTGGGACTCGAGACTGGTGAGTGGTGCAGGTGTCACTCATTGTCAATTACTCCACCGGCCCCGCCCCACTCTTCACATACCCCCATCGCCCCTCGCAGGCCCGGGGGGTACTCACGAGACTGCGCTTTAATAAAATAAACAAACACAAAACGAAAGTAAAGCGGCAGCCCCTCACGGACGACTGCCGCACACAAAACCCAAAATAAAATCCAGGCCTGGTCCTCTCTCGTCCAACACTGTCATCACTCCTCCTTTTATGCTTCCGGAGCTCCTCCGTGAGACTCGAGACCAGTGAGTGGCGCAGGTGTCGTGCATTAGCACTTAATCCACCGTCCTCGCTCCGTTCCGATGGCTCTCGGCCCGCTCCTCCTATTGAGGGCAGCCGGCAGCGAGTCCCCCGTTCCCTGCTCCTCCCCAATCATGGCGGATGGCAGCAGGCTCCAGCCTCTTGGCGAATGGGGCTAACTC